TATCAGGAAAACGAGCGGCTTGAAAAAGTCACCTCTAAAAATTAACTTGTTAAAACTCTTATTTCAGACAGTATGGTAACCCTTACAATGGACTGTATAGCTGGTTAATTTATTAAGACATTAACTTATACTTATTCTCTTTGTATTTTCCCCCTTCCTATTTTAAGGAGGTTGTCAGGCTCATGCGTTGCTCACCTCTGGAGCTCAAGGTTGCAAGAGAGAAGACAGGGTTGCCTGAAGACAGCTCTTCCTCAAGGTGTTGGGAACTAGTCTCTCAAATCCTGCTTGTCTGAGGGGATGGGGCTTGGTCAGCCGGAAGAGGGATGCAGAAGGAATGATCCTCAAGGCTGGGAAGGTGGAAGTGGGTGGGAGGTCCAGGAAGGGAAATACCCCTGTTGCCAGCAATTGGTTTGGGGGAGCATCACCTCCAAATGGTACCTGGTGTGGTACCTCCTGGGGTGGAGCATGGGGATTGCCCACCTTTGCCAACATCCCACCACTCAGGAAACTGTAGCTTCCCAACTTCCAGAGATACCATGGGCTGGGACACTGAGCAAAGTACGTGACCTCCCAGAATGTTGTAGGTTATATAATGCTTCCAGAGGCTGGAACAGGGTGAGAGGAAGCCCCTGTAAGGATGGGATTTTAATTTCCCAGCCCTTGGCAATTGGATGTTTGGAGTCAGACTTGATTTGATTTAGAAGATAAGGTGATGTGATAATCTGAGGGTGGTGGCATAAAATTGTCACCAATACAGCTGTGTAAGACAGCAGCAAAATATTAGGTGGAATGAAAGGTTGTGTATGGGTGGGAGCAGTAGGGCCATAAGAACTTGTCCCATTTCTTGTTTCCTCTATCTTTTGTAAAACCCCCATATTGGCTTATCTTGAACACCTATCACCTTCTTGTTCCAAAGGGCCCTCACGGTAGCTAAGCAATGTCCGTGACGGCTACTGGGGGCCATGGCAGACCAAAGAAATGGGAAGAAGGAAAAGGAGATTAGAATAAGAAGACATAAAAAAAAAAAGATTAAGTAAGAAGGCGAGAAAGTGACTATAAGCGAAGTAGCGATCACCCTGTGTGTACATGGAGTAGACGCATTGGTCTGGCATATGGTCTCAGGCGAAAGGCAAGGGAAGATACTCAGGCTGGGTTTTCTGTTTCCTGTTTTCCCACATCTCTTCTACTTTATTTCCCCTCCGGTCAGCCTCTGGTCATCCAACCCTCCGATCTGCCTCCAGGCAACAGATACTTCATTCTTAAATCCCAGCTAGTTTGGGAGGAGGCATTGGGAAGGTGTCTGGGGTTTAAGCCTCACACAGACCCAAGTTTCACTTCCGGCTCTGCCGGCTCCTGTCCCTGTGTCTTGGGCACTAGGTCCTCAAGAGTCAAGAGCAATGTCACATGTATAGGGGTCAGCAAATTGTCCACTGACCCAAACTCTCAAATTACCTCCTTCAGTCCTGAAGGTGGTGAAAATTTTCAGTTTTGAGCAAACGTTAGTGAAAATTGAGGACAGGCTACAGGACAGGTCAGAGGGCACTGAAGAGAATGTGTGATTTCCCATTCCTATCTGTAAGCAGCGCTGGCTGTGGCTGTCTGTCTAGGCCACCAGTTCCTAAATAGTGCCAGGGATCAGAACCACCTGATGAGCTTGTTCAAACACAGACTGTGGGGTAGAGTTCAAACTGATTCGGGCAGTCTGGAGGGGGCACGGCAGAAGGCCTCAGACAGTGCTGGTACTGCTGGTCTAGGAACACACTTTGAGAACCACTGACCTAGTCTGTTTTCACGCTGAAACCAAAATGATCTGTTTAAAGCCCTGCTTTTATGATTTCCCTTTTCCACTTAAAACCCTTCAGCAGCTCCCTGTAGGAAATGTTTTGACGTATCAGCTATAAAAGCAAAATGATCAAGCTTTCTTTGGTGAAGAGGAAGGAGGCCATTTGCTCCCTGCCTTCTCCTCTTAGGGTGTCTCCTTGAAATATAATAGGCCAATAAAAGGCCCACCATTTGATCTTCACAATGCAAGGTCACTGTCCTTCAACGCTTGGATCCATAAATACATACCCCCAGAAGGAGCTGAGAGGACTCCAGATTTATGAGACAACCACGAGTGTATGCTTTTATCTCTCAAGGAGATAAAAGAAGTTTTAATTGTTTTGTCTTCCACTTTGCTGTATAAATTTGTGTGACATTCTGTCTGGAGTTGGTAGACACTTTCATCCTACCTGTCCATGCCTGGAACTCTGTAATGCACACTCGCAAATAAATTGTGTTCTCCCTCTTCTTTCTTCAGAAGTTTGCGCAAAAGGGTGTTTTGTTAGTGGGATTCTTTTACTTCCCTGACACAAACCTAACCATCTTACTCTTCTCTGAGAACCACCCTGCCAGCCTAGGCTGATGCAATGTGATTCTCTCTCCCAGGACCTGGGGAATCAGGACTGAGAGACACTGCTGCAGAGAGAACAGGAGAAGGTGAGGCAGACACACAGAGAAGCACAGGTACCAATTCTTGAGGTCTTTCCATCTGGGGATAGTCCCATGGAGTTCCAGATGCCCTCCCTGCCTTGGGTTCTGCAATATAACCCAGGTCCTGACAAAATCCCCTCTTTGCTTAAACGAATCAGCTATGGATTTTGCTAATTGCACCAAAAATACTCTGCATTGAGCTACTGCCCTTCCAGATTCCTGGACATAGTAGCAAAGCTCTTCATGGTCTGGCACCTCCTTACCTCTCCATCTGTTGCCTCAACATGTTCTCCACCTTCTCTATATTTCAGTCACATTGAACTGCTTTTTAGCTTTTCTACTCTTTAGGCCTTAGGCATGCTCTTTTCTCTCTGCTTGTAACACTCTTTTCTCCTCGTCTTTGTCTGGCCAACCCCTATTTGGCCTTCAGATATCAGTGTAGGTATATGTCACTTCTTCCAGGAAGCCCTCCCAGATACACCAGCTTCTCCATATTCTCACAGTACCTTTAGCTCCCAAGTCCTAGCACTTATTTAAGACATCATAATTGTCTGGTGGATTGTCTTTTTTTTTCCTCCCTAGATTTTGAGTTCTTTGAAGGCAAAGACTGAATCTCAATTGCTGTTGTATCTGGGTTTCTAAAACTGTGCTTGGCTGGTGCCCAATAAATACTTGTCAAATGAATGAATGATGGGCCTCTTTGCTCTCAGTCACCTACCTCAGTGGCAGATTGACAACACTGAACAGAAAAAATGAAAATTACCTTGGCCTCAAGCTGCAAACTATAATTTGAATATACTCCTGAGGTAAAGAATCAGATGTCGCCATGGTCTGGGAATATTCTATTACCTTCATTGTGTCTTTTTTCCTCCCTTATTTAATGATTGTGCCAGAGTTTCTAATTAGAGGAAAGGCCTCATGCATTTATTGATTCAAATGTGCTGCATCGCTAGGGAGATTTTGAAAATAAGGTTAGAATTTAGCATATCAGAAATCCAGTCCATTTGAGAGCTCTCAAAAGGGTTTGCCCTTGGGTCATTTAGCACAGACTTTCATAGTCACAGAAAACTGTTGTCATGGAAATCATGGAACCTTTCATGATTTTTGTGTATGAGTTAATGAAGATACTGGAAACAGCCCAGAGGAATTCAAACTTGGGTGTGCATTTGTCTCCATATTAACCCAATCATTGTTTTGAACACACATCTGCCCCTGGGCTGATTCTGTTGGCTCTTGGTACTGACAGGAATAAATAAACAACAGATTCCTTTTTAGTATTTCAGACTAGGAGGCTGTGGATCACTGCCCTTTTGGTCTCATTTCAACAGGAAATCCCACATGGAGGGTTTAAAAGAGAAGAAAAAAAAGAATGGTGTGTGAAGCAAACCTCTCTCTTCTACTTTAAACTATTAATGTGGCTGATTTCAAGTCATCTAACTTTAATGCTTAGAAAGAAATTTCAGTTGTGGAGAGCACAGAACACTGACTATACCTAAAGCCTTTCCTATACAGTCCTCGATCAATATACCTTAACTTGACCCTCCAGCAAGTCTACAGATTTGATACAGATTTCTCAGGATGCTCAGAACATTTGAGTGAGATTTCCCATCTATGTCCTAGCCTGCTAGTTATTCCCAACATCCATTTTCCTTTCTTTCCTAGTAATAGAACCCCTTACTTTTAGTGAGGCTTATGGATGTTTGGCATAAAGGCATTTCCCCTTCTGCCTTAATGCTGGCCAATGTTATTTAAGTAGTAGTGGTATATTTGACTTCCTGGATTTATCTTTAAAGGGAGTGGGTATGTGTCTTTCTTCATCCTTTTCTACTGACTGGAATGTGGACGTGATGGATGGAGCTGGGGCACTCATTCCGGACAGTGAGTAGGGAGACACATTGAGAAAAGCAGAATAAGACAGAAAGAGTCTGGGTCCTGAAGATTGTGAAGTTTCCCTAAAAGCCTACCCTGACCGAGTCTACAGCAGAGAGAAAGAAAACTCAGTCTTATTTAAACAACTGTTATTTTGAACTTCCTGTCATTCATCTATCTTAACTGATCTACCCGGCAAAAATGAAATTTATTTTTCCTCTTTCTACTGATTAGGTATGAAATCTCATGGGATTTTCTTCTGATCCCAGAGCATGCTGAACAGTGGGAAGATTTGCTGGATCTTTGCATTAGCCAGGCCAAATTTTCTTGTCTAGGAAATTAAAAGAGCATTTTACGGCAGAAAATACCCACTGTAGCTTAGCCTCAGGGACGTGGTGTGCCTGATCTTCAAATGTGCATTTTGGTTTTTCTTGAACAGTGGAACTTTTACCCTAAAATCAAGAATCCTTTCTTTTCCAAATGCTTTTTTGGTATGAAGTAAGTGATAAATAAGAATCATTACTAACTGGTCTGAGTGTCAAGTAATAGAGATAAGACAGAAAAACCCGAAACCTTGTGAATTATCAGGAACATGTGTAACAGCCTTCCGCATGGGAGACACAAGCCTTATACTAGTGAGGAACTGCAATTTTACTTACTGAACTTGGGCCTCTTAATCTTCTTTGTCATTTCTTTATTTGACTGTACTCCAGTCACCAGCAAAACTACAGGAAGAAAATACAAAAAAAAAATCTAATCAATATTATTTTACCTAAGCTCTTTTGACCCTTATATTTGCTTCAGTTGCATGTTGAAGTATTCTCATTGGTGGAACTCATTTTCCCTTATACAAACATTGGGGAAATAAGATGTATGGTTTGTGTCCTTTTCTTACCCTCTGCTGAAGGAGCCTTTCAAAAGCACCTCTTGGATACCTGTCCTTTGTTTCGCTGCATTTAAATCTCTCTACACCAACTCAGCCATCTCCATGTTCCAAAGGAGGGAATGTGGGCCTGGAGAAGTCCATTAATTTGCTTGGTCCCAGGAATAAATGATGGAGGAAGGATGGCACTCAGGCTCTTCTTGCACTCTTTCTCCTGTTCCACACTGAGTTTTCAAACGGCCTGTTTCCAAATGGTTAGAGAACTGCATTATGTGTGCAGGTGTGTGCCTGTGCATTTATGTATGTGCATGGGTGTGTGCATGCAAGAGTGGGGTGTCAAATGGAGGGAATATGTTAAAAGCTTCAGAGGAGGGCTGTCTGGGAAAGGAAGACAAGCGGAGAGGGGATTGTGGAGAAGAGAGAGACTGGTCACAAGGTCTGAGGTGTGACTGGAGTGTCCCCAGGTGTTCCCTTCTAGCGGTGCCTGGCTCTGCACCCCACTGGATATGGTACTCTTCCCGTACTGGGAAGTGGGACAATATAAGGAAAAGGGGATATGGTATGTTCTTTTAATTTAACCATATCCTTTATAATTTAAAGTCACATTATCAGTTTGAGCCTCGTGTGTTTAAAAAAACACTGCCTGATTTTTTTTTCTTATTACCAAAGTACTACAAATTTAGTGTAGAAAAATGTAAAAAAAACCCCAGAAAGTACAAAAAAACACATGAACACAAAAATATATTTTCAGTCTTTTTCTATATGTACAAATGTATTCATATGAGCACTCTTAAACATTTGATCATGCTCTCACTGTTTACAAAGTTTTATAACTTATTTCTACTTAAGGATATATACAAACATTTTTTCTTGCCATTAAATGTTCTTCTCACAGCAATTTAAACTGCCTGCAAAATATTACACTGTATGGATATATCATAATTTAGCCAATTCCTGATTTAACATAAATAGCTTCATTTATGTGCTGATTCTTTATTTCAATACATTTCCAAGTAGGATTGCTTATCTGAAAGATACACCTTACATTTTTTATGTATATTGTGGAAATTTCTCACAGTAATTTTTACTAGCATGTCTGAAAATGCTCACTTCTCTGGACCTACACTAATACTACTTATAGATACTTTTCCTTTCAGAGGGCTAGTCAATCCTCTGTTCCTCCTTCCTCTCCAGGCATTCTTCGACCTTAGCCACCCAAAGATGGTACTGCATTAACTTACCTCCATTTTATCCACTTTTTTGAGAAACCCACTTTCTGGATGGAGTTGGGACTGAGGTGAACATGAGGCAGTAGAGTAATCAAAACAGGCCTTTTTACCTCCTACTTTATGCTTCTGTCTTTTTAACAGAACATGGATGTTCACTTTGGGCACAAACAGACTTAGGAAATTTGGAATTGGCAACTATCTTTAAAGGAACAACTGGCAATGTCCCCAAGTATTTAAGAAAACTTTTTATTTACCGAAACATTTTTATTTATGATTATCTAGGTAATCTATGCCAATGATACTGCTTCTGAATTATCCCTACTTCTGACTCTTAGCATTAGTTGAGGCCTGGGCAGTTGACATGCCATGTCCTGTAAGAACAGAAACATGAAAGAGAACTGAGTGAGAACGAAGAGTCTAGCCTGTAGACTGCAGGCAGACTTTTTTAGGTGTTATTTACTTCTGAGGTTTGGACTGGTGTGAGTGTCCTGGAGGTCTAAATTTTATAGTGACCTCCCTGTCATTTAACTCTGTGCAATGACCACATCTTCATAATATTGTATGCAAAAATAAGTAACTAGAATCCTAGAATGTTTTTTAAAAAAAATATTTAAAATTTTAGCAAGTAAATGCAGAGGGATTAAATGAAATAGTAATAAATTTAGGTATCAATTCTTGTGGAAAACCAAACACTGTCCTTCTGGGCCTGTGCGCCTTTGGCAAAGTGGTTTATATGTCTTCTTATCATTAGGACTATAAATATTTCAGTAAGACCACCCCATCACTCGAATTTGCTCACCCAAGACCCTCCAGGCTGAAAACATTCATAGCTGGGTTTGGTTTTACAGCAGTGGTTAATAAAGTCCTTATTTTCAATGGTACACAGAGGCCCTACCTTCAGCTTGGATGCTTATTAATTAAAGCTCTTCGGAAACCACTCCTCATGGGAAGGGCTAGTCAATAAGGCTGCAAATGAGCTTGTGCCCTGAAGCAAGTCCTCCTCATCAGCAGGACCTCTCTTGCTACACTGGAACCAGGGAACTGCACGTTGAATGTGGGTAAGGGAAAAATCAGTCTTATGTTCGTTTTCTTAGGAAGCCAGGCAGAGCACTACGATGGATAACTGATGCTCACTTCAAAGTACAAAGCAGAACACAAGTCTGAAAGCCAGTCCCTTCTGTGGGTTAGTTGGTTACTTAGCTAATGAGGCTATCAGTGTTTAGAAGCCTTGCAAAAATTAAGTCTAGAGTCCAAAGTTCCAAGACAACATGATTTACCAAACTCTGCACCAATACTTCTCAATTAAAAACAAAATCCAAGGTTCCCTTTGAATGACATGAAAAGTTCTCAACTTTTGTCAGTAGTGCTTGAAACTTCAAAACAAATTAAATATTGAAATTACTTTTCCAAAATTAAAATTCCCTCCAACACTTCTTGCTCTTATGTGACAATCACATGTCAGTAAGGTACCTGAGGCATAATTGTTTTAAAATTTCGATTAAATAAATTATCACCCAGATAATTCATAGAGAAAATACAAATGAATTAGCTTGGAATAGTATTCAGTCTCATTAGTGATTAAGAAAAGCAAGCTAAAGGAAAACAGCAGGATGTTTCCCCATATAAGTATTGAACACGAGATTATACTTCATCCTGGCATGGATTTGGGATTAGGGAGTTCCGGTATACTGTTGGTAAACCCCAAGCAAGTAGAATCATTCTGGAAAGCCAATTGGTAATATATTTCAATAGACTTCAACACATGTATATTCTTTGTCCTAGAAAATATGCCCTTTAGGAATATGACCCAAGTTATAATTAGAGATATGCACAATGATTTATGTAAAAAAAATGTTCATTACAGCATATTTCTAATGGCAATCTGGAAATAATGAAATGTTGGAAATGTCCCAACGATAGGGGAATCCGAAGCATTTGTTACAAATGATGTGTAGAAGAATATTTAATGACCTGGCAAGTGCTCAGCTTCAACCTTAAGAATGATCCTGACAAAATTAGAACATATGCAGAGAGAATAACTAGAACAAATACACCAAAATATTAATAACAGTGGAATTATAATTTCTATTTTTTATTTTCTGTATTTTCCCATCTTATAGTAGATTCCTTATATGTAGTCTACATTTTATATAACACTGTTGATTTTACAGTTAGAAAGGGCAACATAATTATTTAATTTGGTCAAATTGAAATCACACAGACTAACAACAATGAAGAGTGTTTTCTAAAATCATTGGTATGGTCGATACGCACTTGTGTTCTGGTTTTCCTGTCAGTAATGAATTGTAATCAGAATCCATTTACTTTCAAGAAAAGATATGAAGTACTAGAGCATCTAATCAATTATCAAATCAGTAAGTACCTACTGAATACTTATCCTGTGTCTAGAATTTCTAAAGAAATGCCTCATTCTAGGCTATCAACGTCTTATTCGATCCTTCCAGAGCCCCTGAGATACTGACTCCTTGTTGACTCTCTCCTTGACCACACTTCAGTCAGCCTCCTCAGCCCTCTTCTCGGCCAAGTTTCAACTTGGGTCTTCAGTGTCCGCCCCTGTTGGCCTTGCATTGCCTGTTTACCTGGAATCCTACTTACAGAGACTCCCCCACCTTTGATCTCTGATCATCCTGGTCTGCCTTTAGCAAGAATCCTGTCAGGTTGGTTTAGCAAGAATCCCCCTACCCTTGAGGTCTCTTCTTGGTAATATCCATCCACTGACCCCAGCAACCTGTCTCTTGGATATAAACCCCATTTTCCTGGTTGTGTTTAGAATTGAGCCCCATCCCATACTGAGGTGTCCAACTTCCTTTCTCCTATTGCAATAGTTCCTTATTAAAATCTGTTTTACTACCTTAGATACCATTCAGCTCTGGTTCTCTTTAGCAATATCCACAAAGCCTTCTGAAAAATGATTTATAGAGCAGATTATTTTAAAGCAGTTCAAATTTCCCTGATGCTTTAATTTGGGATTACGTACTCAATGAAACATGTAGCATCAAATAAATCAGAGCTTCTTAGCAATGACAGGACAATTTATTCTCTACAATCTCATATATCATAGAATTATGCACCAAATCATAAAATATTAAAGCTGGGAGGAGCTTTGGAGGTCATCCCTTTAATTTTATAGACAGGAAACCAGGGTCAAGGTTAATACCTTGGCTAAAGCTGCAGTTCTTTGGAGGCAGATGTTGGAACCAGAATGCAAGTTTGCTGGCCGCAGTCCGAGCCCCTTTATTCCCCTTGCCCCCTCTAAGTGCAGCTGCTGGTCATCTGTGGTGTTCCATGACAATGGGCAGCACAGAACTCACTGTACCATAAATTTAAGCTTACCTAAAACACACATGCTGGCTCTGATACTTGTATTAGTTACGCACTAATTAGTTTAGAGGTCTTCTAAGGTATCATTGGCTGGCTCTGTGTGATATTATAATTTATAATAAATATGTATTTTGGTCTTCCAGTCACAGTTCCTGGCTCACTGATACCAAAACCCTCAGAATTTCCTGAGCAGTAAGAGCAATGGGAGCATGTTTTAAAATAATAATTAGCTTCTTGTCCTCAGTTCCTGAAATTGCCTCAAAGCCATAAAGGTAGAATGGGTATCTTGTTATTCATAACAAGCCCCTTCCAATCACAGCTGGGTTTATGTTAATGCATTGACTTCTGGGAATCTCCTAAAGATGAGGGAGCTGGTTGCTGGGAAGCTAGCCTTGCCTAGAGGGTTGAACTTTCCTCTGGAGGGGAAAGGGCTGGAAGTTGAATCAATTGCCAATGGCCAATGATTTAATCAATCGTGCCTATGCAGGGATGCCTCCATTGGGTCGCCTGCGTTAAAACCTGAAAGGCTGGGGTTCAGAGAGCTTCGGTGGTTGGTGACCAGAACGCCTCCATGTGTCGCCGTGCTGGGCCCCAAGCTCCACGGGGACATGTGTTCCTTTGTTCGGGACCTCGCCTCATGTATCTCTTTATCTGGTTGTTGATTCATATCTTTTAATAATCTTTGCAATGAACTGGTAATCTGAGTTCTGTGAGCCACTCTGGCAATTAATTGAACCGAAAGAGGGATTGTGGGAACTCCTGATTTATCACCAGACAGTAAGAAGCACAAGTGAAAACCTGGACTTTTGGTTGGCATCTGAGGAGGGGTGTAGGTTGGTGACAGTGTTGTGGGACTGAGCCCTTAACCTATGGAATCTGATATCTCCAGGTAGATGGTGTCAGAACTGAGTTGAATTGTAGGACACCCAGCTAGTGTCAAGGAATTGCTTAGTGTGGAGAAAAACCCCACAGAATTGAGTGCAGAATTGGACTCTGATTCCTTAAAAATCCAGCATTCCCAAAGAGAATAATTTATTTAGCAGTATTTTTTGAGTGCCTGTGAGGTGTGCCAAGCACCGGAAATACAGTGAGTGGGACACAGCTCCTGGTCTCGGTGAGTCTGCCATTCTGCGGGAGTCGGACTAGTGGCAAGGTGAGCGCCATGCAGCTCTGAGGAGAATTGATGCAGGGCACCAGGGCAGCACAGGACAACGGCCTTCTCAGACGGGGGCGGAGGACAGACAGGGTTTGGGGAGAGAACGGGACGAGACGAAGAGCGTTCCAGGAAGGGGAAGCAGCACAGTCAAAGGCCCAGGAGTGTGAGGTGGTGTGGTTCTCAGGGGGATGAGGACGTCCATATGTCCCGGGTCCCCAGATGCCAGCCTGGGCTCCGTGGTGAGAGAGGGGAGCAGGCGACAGCAAGAGCCTTATCAGGAAGGCCTTGCCAGCAAGCAGGGCACTTTAAGGGATGATGGCTTCATCCTAAGGATGAAGGGAAAACACTGAGGAGGTGAAAGCGAGATGGTGATCGGATGTGGGCTTCAGGGAGATTGATCAGGGTGTGGTGGGGAACCAGCGAGAGGGGGAGGATTTGGGGGAAGGAGGCTGTCCCAGTGCTGAGAAGGGCCGCAGGGGCTTCAGGAAATGGCCCTGACGTGGAGACAAGCAAATGGATGAGAGAGGCAGACGTGGGAGGACATAGAGAGAGGAGTTTGGGATAGGACTCTCCTTTTCCTGTTTTGATTCTTGCTTTCTGGATGAGTCACCCTGAAAAGAGTTTTGCCAAAAGACAGACAGAGAGGCTGGGGACAAGGCAGGACAGTCAAGTCCCCCTTTTTGGTGCTGTGATGCTGGGACAACACAGTGTGAAATGGCCTCAGGGTTTGTTTGTTTAGTTCTGTTTGTTTTACAGCAGCTAAATTCTCCTATTTCTAACTCCCCACCCCAACCCATGTAAGAAACCTACTAATCTGTTTTAGAATTGGTAGTGTTATGGAAAATACTGGAAAACCTTCACTGACGGAAGAATCAGGCGGCACTCGGAGGTCTTGGAGTGCTGAGGTTTATTTTACACCGCCGGGCTCAGAGGGGAGTGATCTCCCAAGGTCTGAGCCCTGAGCACAGGCGAGGGGAGCAATTTATATTATTTTGATATGTGGCATTTCGGCTCACGCAGGGCAAAAGAGGAGCCTGGAGGAGGGGAAGGGGGAGCTGGGAGGGCTTTGCCAACTGGAGGGAAAAAGCGGTTTGCTGACCTTGATGGTTGTGTTGAATATTTTCCTTACCAGTAGGGGGACAGCCTCCCAAACGGGCAAAGTGGAAATGAAGGACCCTGTGCCTCCAAGGTGAATATTCCTTAGCAAACTGGTGGTGGACTCAGAACCAGAGCCCGTATCCTCTCTGACTCCCAGTCCAGTCTCCTTCCCTCGTGCCCAGAGCCCCCTTGCTTGTCGTATTGGGTTTTTTTTGAGAAATTAAAAAACAAGAAGATTCTTATATTCAGAATCAGTAAATATGTTCTATCTGAAATATTTGGTGGTTGCTGAAGAATACACACACAGATATGTGTGTATATCTGTGTGTATAGTGTGTAATAAATAGACTGAGGCACACATATGTAATACGTACATTTGGCTTAAATAAAAATATATTATACACATGCATCCTGAATTTGGTCTACACTTAACATTCTCACTTAAGCTTTTCTCCAAAATGTTTATCGTAAAAAGATACACTGTACTGTTTATATGCTCTGTCTTGGTTTACATCTTTTCTTGGAGGGATTCTTTGGACCTTAGGAAAATGTTAAAAGTGTATCCAGATACACATATAAAAGTACTTACCAAGGAACATTTCAGTAACAGATGCCTTCATGGTGAGGACAACACTCCCCATAAATATCAAAACGGCACCCTGGAGAAGGAGAAACAATAACAGCGTCATATTTCAGCCAAGAGCTCCGAACTGGATGCTCTGAGTGTAGGGATGGGCTGCTTCATTTGGCATTGCTCTCTGGAGCCTTGACTCCAAGCTGCGGCTTCCTGTAAAGAGCTCAGGGAGATGGCAGCGGCCAGCCGCACCGGTATCCAGAGAGGCTATTCTCCGTTAGAAAACCCATTCTAGTCAGCAGCCTCCTGTTCTTCAGAGATTTGGTTTTACTGAAAATTGACGAGGAAATAACTGCATAATTTCGAGAATATGTTCAACTAGTCTTCAAATGAGAACAAAAGCCATACTTACTGTATTGATAGAACATTTTTAGGTTGCAAATCAATAATTTATTCATCATTCATTCAATAAATATTTATTAAACTCCTATTGTATGGCTAGGTACTATTAAGGAGGATGTGATAAAAATTGAATTGCACCACAGTTCTTGGCTCTTAAAAGACTTAGAGTTTAATAAAGTGGGAAAACATACAGGGACACAAATACCATAATGTTAGGGAGTGTTCAGGCTCCATAAGGGAATATAGGAGGAGTTTATAGACCAGTGGTTGTCCAATGTTGTTGCATATTAGTATCATCTGGGAGTATAAAAAGACCAGGCCGTCGTCCCTCAGACCAACTGACTCAGAATTTCTCAGGGTGAGGTCAAGGCATTGAGTTTTTTAAAACTTCTCAGGGAATTCCAGTGTGCAGACAAGTTTGAGATCCAGCGATTTAGAGGAAGGCCTCTTTAATCTTAATGTGCATAGGAATCACCTGGGGATCTTGTTAAAAATGCAGATTCTAATCCAGTAGGTCTGGGAGAGTGCCAGAGATTCCCCAAGAGGCCAGGGAATTTTAGAGGAAGGAGAGATTATGTCAGCTGTGGGAATAAGAAAAAACCTCACAGAGGTGGTGGCAATTGGGCCGACTCTGAAAGGTGACCAGAGATTGATCGTGTGGGAACTGGGGAGAAGCGACACCACACGGGTGGACACTCTCCCCAGAGGCTCCGAGGTCAGAAAGCGCAGTGCATGTGAAGGTGCTGCTGAGCTATAAGGGGTTATCCTCCTTTCTTGTAAGGCTAGGAGGAAGTTCTAGAAGGTTTATTCGTATTATTGTTAATAGAGCATATAGTGCACACTCTGTATTGTCTCAAATCCTCCCCAAAAGCCAGTGTGGTAGATTTTAGGATCCCCTCAGGAAACTAAGGCTTAGAAAGGTTAAATGTCATATCCATGGTGACCTGACAGTAAGTAAGACCAGAACAGAGGTGGGAGTAGGTGGGAAGGAGTTGCCCTGGGCACAGGTGGTGAGAAAGAACATTGCAGAGAATCTAAAGACTTAGAAGTTGGTTTGCTTTTGACTCACAGATTCCAAGAAGGGACTAGTGGTTACCAAAGCGGAGGGGTGGAGGAGTGTGGGTGGGGAGGGAGGGAGTAGGAGACTGAGGGGTATTATGATTAGTACACATGGTGTGTGTGGGGGTTCATGGGGAAGACAGTGTAGCACAGAGAAGAGAAGTAGTGACTCTGTAACATCTTAACAGTGATGGACAGTGACTTCAGTGGGGTGTGGGGGGGACTTGATAATATGGGTGAATGTAGTAACCACAATGTTTTTCATGCGAAATCTTCATAAGAGTGTATATCAATGATACCTTAGTAAAAAAAAAATGTCCCCCCCAAAAAAAGTTGGTCTGCTTTTTATTATCCTTATAAGCCAGCAATTCTAAAGAAGGTCAATCAAAAAACACTTCTCCCTTCTGGGGCAGATGGTTCCCACTACATCCTTTCTTCCCAGTGCCACTACAGAATGGCTTAAAGCTGGCATTCATAACCCGACACTCTGGTGTGCCTGGTGGAGTGCTGGTAAACCTGTTCTCTGAAAAACAAAAACAATAATCCAGACCCTGACTTGTAGCATTTCTTGGTTTCTGTGGTATAAATTTTCCTACTGTGGCTGATTTTGAAGCCATCAAAGTGATGCCAGTGAATGGAGACTTGAAAAGAGAGAAACACAATCTGGGACCAGCTAGGTCCAAAACAAGCTTATATCCAATACTTAGAGATGGGATAAAAGATGATGCCATTATTAACAAAAAGCAGTTATTAAATTATGCTTGAGGTAATAACATAAGTATCTGGTGCAATTAATTTCAATAAAACTGTTTAGTATATGAAAGGTTTTATTACAATCAAATGAGACAGCAAGAGAAACCCTAAACAGAACTGATTACTTTGCTAATTTCCAGCAACGATTGCAGTGCATTATATATACTTCCCAGCTAAGGTGGTTGACCACTGGTTAAGTAACAGGCTGATAATGGTATTTAGCTTCAAAATAGAAATAAAATCATACATATAATCTATTTGGCAAATTGATGCTTGAATAGTTGGGTCATATTTTGGAAATAGTGTCATAACAACTAAATTTTTTTTTGTCTTTTACTAATGTGAGAAGCTCCAGAACTGCTTACATGTTTTCAGGCCTAAATATTTAGCTTTCTTATGGGACAAATACAGTTAGTCAAGCTGTCCTACTAGATATCCCCACCCAGTCCTACCTGGGTTTAGCATCATGGGCTCACCTGAGAGTCCTGTTTGACTTTGCTTTCTGCCATTCCTCCTATTTTATCTATCAGCTGGAACTGTTGCCTCCACACTTATAATATATCCAGAATCTGTCCATTTCTCATCACCCATTGCCACCTGCTCCTGGCCATGCCTCCTCTTACAAGGATTATTGCAATTAGGCTCCTAACGTGGCCACCTCCTTCCCCTGTGCTCTACAGTCTGCACAGGTGACAGCAGGATCGTGTGCAAAGTAAGCCATTCATAGCATTCCTCAGATCAAAACTGAACCGTGCCTCCCCACCTTACTCAGAACAAAAGGCAAAGTCTTGCTTGACAAGTGTGATCTGGCCACCACTGGCCTCTCTGAACTCATTTCCTGCTATTGCCTCACTCACTTATTAAACTCCAGGCACACAGGTCTCCTGGCTGCTTCTAGAACACACCTCTTACCTTAGGGTCTTTGCACTTAGTGTTTCCTCTACATGGTTGCCCTTCCCTCAGATAAGAACATGATTCTCTTCTTCATTTCTTTCAAGTCTGCTTAAAGGTGACCTTCTCTTGGGACATTTCCTAACCACTCAATTTAAAATTATAATCCCTCTCCCACCCATCACCAACTGGTACACCCTTTTTTCCTACCAACTTTTTTTCCATGTTATTTATCACCACTGGCATACTCTATAGTTTACTTATTTTGTTTGTTTATTGTTTGTGTTCTCCACCAGAATGCAAGTTCCATGAGGGCAGGGATTTTTATTTGATTTTTTATGTGCTCAATAAATATATGTTGAATTGATGAGTGAGTTGTAACTGAGTGCAGAGAGCATCAAGAGTCAGGAAAAAGAACTAATGACACTTAACCTGACTGCCTAGAGCGAGAGCCACCCAGTCTTTTCTTGTGTAAATTACCCGAGGCTTCTGAGAAATGCGCCTACCCTAAGTTAGATAACTAGAAGTGGGCAACAGCCTGGGAACGCCTGGGGATGTAACCCGTGATAAGTCACATAGACATGCTTGGGTAAGCAAGAGATAACAATTGAAGCGGGCAGGCAACTGGCGCGTTCCCTAAAAAGGTTACAATGTTTCCCATTGGTTACAATATAGAGTGTGTTTTAAACCTATTAGTTGTAGAACTGCACAGGCTTTGGTGTAACTGCTGTGAAGATCCTGTATAATCAGTACCCAAAGTTGCTTCAGGGTCGGCAGCTCGGACTCGGCCTGCGTGTCAGGGGAGGTGCTGTCGACCCCAGCTTGCTGGCTGAATAAAGACTTTGCTTGGATTTTCATCTCCGTGTCCGTGTGTCTTGTTCTCTGGGAAACCCCGGAGTCCTAGACCCTAACAGAGTAAGTAGGGCTCTCTCCCTTCTCTAGGAAATGAAAAAGGATACAAAACAAAGAGAAGAACAAAACAGTTGTGAATATCCTAAAAACTACTGAATCGTACACTTTCAAAGGTGTATTTCATGGTTGGTGAATTATATCTCAATAAGCATTATTGAGATTCAACAAATAAACGCAAGGGAAGATGAACTGCAAAGAGAAATGCTCTTGAATTTGTCCTACAACTTTAGAAGAAGGCATGGATGGACCTGACCTTTGCACAGTGGGATGGATGGATAAAAACAAACAGCATTCCAGGAAGCACTCTAACCCCGGAGGAATTACCACCCAAGAACTGACTCATCATTCATGAAACCCTACCAGGATTGCTCTGGCCTCTTGCAATCAGAATGTTTTGAGGCTACTTTCTTACCACTGTAATCCCTCTCCTTGCTCAGTTCATTAACTCATACACTTAAAATGTAAATGTGCCTTTTGAAACATGCAAAAAAAAAAAATTCAAACCCTCACTCAGCCATCCCAGAGGCTGGGGATGAGGTCGGCCCCTGGCACCATTATGCAGTCTCTGCAGGCAGCCCAATGTCACGCATTGCATGGTAATGTTGGGTCTTCAGTCTTCATGGGCTCACTAGGGGTCTAACAAAAATGGAACAATTGGGCTTTCCAAAAGAATGTGCTGTTGATTCATACATCTGTAGATTGTGCTGTGAGATGTGATATAAGGAGCCCTGAATATGAAGTTCTGGTGAGGCAAGGAAGCCTGACCGTGAAGTACAAGCGTACGTTAGTGTAAGTAGAGTAGCCAGTTAATTTAGTTAGATCTCTAGTTGTTCAGAGTTAGAAAAGAACAAATTGGTAATAAATAATAATAACACCTTTTTAAAATTTGGCTTTTCAGGGTTTTTTTTCCAGTTTTTTTCATTGTGGTGAAATACACAAATGTAAAATTTACTATCTTAACTATTTTTACCTGTGTAGTTCAACAGTCTTATATACATTCATGATTTGCTATCATCACCACCATTCATCTCCAGAACCCTTTTTGTCTTGTAAACCTGAAACTCTATG